CGTAGAGTGTAGCTGACTTGGTTTGTCGTAGGTGGGATAGGTCTCGTTCGGCCTGTCTTTGTTTATTAGGGTCAAGGAAGAGAGATTCTAAGGCCTTAACATAGCCTGTGAAGCTGAAGAAGATGTCCTTGACTTCTTAGCTGTATTTCTCGACAGGGTTGTCAAGCTATTCCTATTGAAGGGGTTCAAACCAGGCAAGGGCTCGTCCCTAAAGGAAGGTGGCCGCGTGTACAACGCATTCGGTGTCGTTTTGGAAGGTGTTTATGTGGAAGGCCTGGTAGGTTTGGACTTATACCAGGTGTCCTTTAAGTTGTCCTGGGGTTCTATCGAAAGTGGAAGGCGTGTTAAGCTTAAGGCGTTCTCATCCTTCGACTGGGGCGGATATAACGTTAGCGGCAGCTCGGAGGGTGGCGACTTCTTTCTCTAGATCCTGGTTCTTGCGGGCTTGTTCCTGGAGTTCGCTAAGGGCCGCAGCGTTCTGGTTGAACATTTCGCGCATTGCCTTGAAGTTGCTATTAGTCTTATTAAGCTGGCGCTTAAGTTCTTTGGTGTCGTCCTTGCTGTCTAAGTCGTCCTTCATCTTCTGGTCTCCTAGTTCCTGGGCTAGGTTTTAGGTGGCTCGTCCTCCCGAAGTAGACAAGGATCCCAGGGTAGGCGACTTAACAGAGGCGTGGGAAGATATTGTCGTTCGTTACTGTTAGTAGGAATTAATGGTCAACTTACTGAACAGGAGCAATCAAAGTGTTACGGTCAGCTATCCGACAGTAGGGTCTGCTAACAGAAGCTGGGGATTGATACGTTCTAACAGTATACTGGGTCGTGGTTGTAGGTCGTAGTTCGTAGGCTGTAGTAGATCGGTTCTTCAGAGGCTAAGGTGATCAGTCTTAGACTTAATAAGTGATTTCGCAGTGAAGGTAAGCTGAGAGTATCCGTGAGGATGAATACTAAGTTGATTGCTGAAGAGCTATGGAAGTCTGACTATAAGCCAGGCTCAGGGTCATACTATATATAAGTTCTGAACAGTGGTCTTTGTCTATCTAAGGGTGATCACCTAGGTGCATGAGGTGATCGCGATCAGTTGGCAAAGCCAACTGATCACTGAGCGTTCCTTCCTATGCTCCACTGATCGTTTCCTTATCTTATCGTCACATGACTTATACCATAGTTCTTCCGTGCCGAGTGAGTTCCTGTTGTTCCCGTGATCCTGCAGTACAAATGTCCTGTCCTAGCCGCCCGGCGCCCAAGTGGGTCGGTCAACTGTTATCCATGCATAACGGGTCGTAACATAATAATATTAATTTAAGTTTATAATACTATATAATTAATATATATTATTTATAATTAATTAATAATAGGAGAAATAATAGAAAATAACCAAAAAATAATACTAATTAACGTTTAAAGTAGTAGTATAGCTAAAACCTAAAAATCCCATATTTGCAGGGGTTTTAGTAAGGGCAAACGCAAATGAGTGCGGCCTATGCAAAGCTATTCTTGCCTTTTCACTGTTGACTGCGACCCTTGCTGCCACAGCGCAACTGATCAATTCATTGGCCAATTTATTCACGAGCTGAAACCATGGCCGCAACTTTTTCAAGTTCGCGACTTGCCTTCATCGACGAAAAGGAAGTCAATACAGACAATCTTGACAATGAATCTTCAAGAACCGGGCAATGTCAACGAATTTGACAGTACCACTCAGAGTCAGCAGGTGTATCGGCCGCTGTGCCTCCAATTATCCCTGAATACATCCTGGACGCTCCAGTTCCGGGTTTGAGAGAGATCTTAGAGAGGAGATTGCACACGAAAGGCACGAGCACCACCGACTGGACAACCACAAACACAGCCACATTTCCAACGCCGACAACCACCAAGACGAAGCAACCGTCCAGACCGTCCTGGTGACGAGGGAGACAGCGATTCTGATGGAGAAAATAACCCAAAGAAGAGTTACAGTGGGGACAATGGGAAGATATATAATCGGAATGCTTACCAGGCCACGAACGAAAGGGCCTTCGCCCAGAACATGACGCAGGTTACGCGGTCTCCAAATCTGCATAGACATGGTACACGATAGACCGGAGTGTGTTGAAAGAACGATTGAGTCACACCCTGTCCGAGATATGATCCCCCCGTGGATGATGACCGTGTCATGAAAGCTTTCTACTTCATATCACTGCGCTTCTTGTGATTCAGTCAACTCAGCCCTAAGTCTCAGGTACCCAGACGGGGAGAAATTTTGTAGCGAAGGACCTTTCGGCATCAGGCACTAAATCACAAACCCAATAATGGATCTTCTCGTCGAGCGTTACATTCTTCTTGTCTCACGCGGGACTTCCATCAGCGCAGAGGAAACGCCAGCAGATGCACAAGCCCGTGCCGTTGAAGGTAGCAAGCACGTCGGCAGAACTGAAACATCCCCTATATCCTGATATTATGGACACAAATTTGGCTGCCTTTCTATCAGACTTCCTTCCGTTTTGGTGCCATAAAGGCAAAGATCTAGGATTATTAAGGAAGGTTGAATGTGCTCAGAATCAAAATCAGCGTGAAACTTACGGCCGACCACGTTCCTACCTAGGTGTAACACCATAATGCTATGATCAAAATCGCGGTGAGAAGACTTCTGAAGCACGGTAAGAACGATCCCTCACTTACCTATCCAGTAATTGACCGTATGAGATTCTGGCTGCCCGCAGCCTCCATTGGTTGAGTAACGTGCCACGTCTTCTAGGTGGTCTTGGCTGCATGAGGCAGACGGCTGCCTCACTGAGGCTGCTCGGAGAGCCTGGCGACGAACACTGCCCCAAAGCCCCGCACGTACTTGGAAGGAAGTGCAAAAAACAAAAGTCCTTTTACAACCTCATATCTTTACGAGTCTCAGGCATTCCGTGTTCTTGCGCAAGATTCATCCGGGTATGCTTTGCCGACATTCCTCGACTACTCCGATATATCGCCTTTTTCACTGGTGCATTAGCAGCACAATCCTCGAATCTTTCGTGCCGACAAGTCAGATCAGGATGCGGCCGCCCGAAAACCTTACGACTAGTACCATCGACACTTCCACAACCTCGAAGCACTTTTCGAGCGCTGTTGCCAAAAGACAAGGCCAACAGGACGGCAATTCCCACAGTCAGAGTGTGTCTAAGCACCATCAACAAGTTGATGAACTCGATGTTTCCCGTCCTGGCTTTCGGGAAGTTCCTGCAAATGTTACGAGGATAACAGCCGGTACGAGGAGCGCTGCAGCACCGCCACCAAACCAACCACAAGCCGCTCCCCTCAACCAACGTCGACCCCCGACGAGAAAGTCGAAGAAGAACAATCGTCTTGGGGACAATAGCGATAGCGGGTCTGAGTCGGACAACACGAACCGACTGGGAAATAACGATGACTATTCTGCCTCGCGCCGGCCCGAAGCAGCGCCTGAAGTACCCGGAGCAGTTATCCCAGCCGAGTATCCACGACACATGCGGCAAAAAGGGTTTGACTGGATGCTGAGGTTGAAACAGGCTGGACAGACATGCGAGGAGTTCCATCAACGATGCGCAAAAAATCGTGAGATTGGCTGGGAGAGGCTAGAAAAACTGGCAAACGACCCCCGTGCATCTCAACCAGGGACAACCGACCAGGTTTTCACGTATCCCTCAGCAGATCTTCGTCGTAAACCTTGGAACAATCAAGCCCTCAGGGCTGATTTTAAGATTTGGGAGAGTCGCCGGCGAGCACATTTCGACAAAGTGCTCTACAGTTATTTCCAAGCTTCGCTGGGAAACGATTGTCCGATGAAGACTCCAATCGACATGCTCGACATGCTCGACATGCTCCACACTCTCCAGGGAATTGTTGACGCCGTAGAGGCTGAAATGGTCCACTGCTTGGGTCACTTTGATCGACGTGAAGACTTCGTTGGCACCAATTTAGCTTCTGGGTCTACAAGTAACTCGGAGCTGATTTGCAAAATGATCCAAGAAATGCATAGGATTGTGGTACCGCTTTCCCCGGCTAAGGAGATGATCTCCGGGGAAACAACTGAGCAAACAGAATTATTGACCGCCACGAACTTCCTGAAGCAGAAGGTGAGGGCAATTCAGGTCCCGGAAACGTCGCCAGTGGGACAAATCACGCGCGCATATGTTGACAAGATTATTGCACTCTTGGAGATTGATTACAATGCCCGCCAGACCTATTTCACGTCATACGGTCCCATAGAAAGTCCTAAGAATGATGCCTTTTTCAACCTCTTCAGCTTTAGATACAAGACGGGACGCAATCACGCGGTGCGCAGCATTACCAACCTCCATCTCAAACCCATCGAGTACTTGAGCTGGATATTAGACACCAGTGACAAAGACTCATTGCTCGTATACATTCGTGGATTGCAATGGGAGCAGAATCAGGAGCTCAGAGACTCTTACCGGATTCGACAGAAAATGTTCTATCCTGGCGACAGCAGGCCCGGGTTTGGTTGGTCGGTTCTTTGGAGTTGGGACCAGCCCAAGATTTTTGAGGAATTCTCACAGCTTTCGATGGCAAGACTTGGGTGGTTTTACGAAAAATCAGAAGAAGAGCGCTATGTCCAGTATCAACTACGGAGCGCATACCTTGATGAGTGGGAAAGCACTGATGAGGTTATATTAAAGGTTAGCATGACGAAGGAAGTTATCGGGATGTACCTGTCCGACGGTCGATTGATCACCTTGGACGGCTCGTTGTCGGAGCCTGAGGGAAAGGTAGAGCCGAGCCCGGCGTAACACACGAAGCTGTTGTGGAAAGGGCCGGTGTTCACTTCAGGATGGGCTTGTTCGGAGTTGGTCTTGGATTTGAATCTTGTAATTAGAGTGGTTGTACAACTTCATTCTACGGCTTGTCCTCAAAGAATGCGCGTTAAGTCGGAAGTTATAAGTTGCACCGCTTGAGTTTGATTACTTTAGGGGAATGAGGGCGGCATTCAGGAGGGTAAGGGTGAAAAGTGGGTGAAACCTGGTAATTACATGTACTCATGGCCCTGTCATTATTTCAACCTATATCCCGCACCCTTTGACGCCGATTCCTATCATAAATCGTGACCATGGTCGTTCATACTACACTGTACCTTTCCTCCTCTTAATCTCAATCTTCGCTTCAACGGGAGGCACGACCGTGACGCCGATCCATTGCGGTTTCGGCCTCTCAGACAGGGTCTTCACCTCGTAATTCAGCAGCAGATTGGCGACAACCATCTTCAGTTCGTGGGCAACGAAGAAGCGTCCAGGGCTGTAGGAGATTAGTCTTCGGGTGTTGCGGCGAGGACAGCAGAACCAACTCACCATGCATGCCTTCCATGGCCGAACGCCAGGTGGGCATCACTGGTCGTAACCATACCTAGGTTCTTCAACCTCAGCCCTTCGTCTAAGTTCCTTTCCTCTTGCGGCTTGGCCTCGTATGCTTCCCTCTCTCGACTCGTCCTGAAGGCGTCGTATTCCAAAGCGTTTGACGTGAGCTCGTCATCGTGGTGCAGGCCCTCGAGGTTGACTGTGAGGAACGTGCCCTTGGGCAGATGCCAGCCCTCTTGCTCGTTGGTAATGCCCTCCTTCGCCACAACCTTGCGCTCCATCAGGGTGCAGCTGAAGTTGCTCAATCTCTGACTTTCACGGATGGCACTGTCCAGCCGGTATAGTCTTGACAACCCGTTCTTCGTCCATTGCCCGCCCTCCTCTTTCAAAACCCTAGCTGCCTCCTCTCGGATGCCATCGATGTAACCCTTTGCTGGGTTGGATGCTAGCAGGTCGAGGACGATACTATGGCCAGTGATGACTGTCGTGTGGATTGCCGCGAACTGAATAGGCAACAAGCGCTTCGAAATAACGTAGGGGTCCAGTTCGAAGTAGTTCTTCTCCGCCTTGGCCATGCGAATATCCCATGTGATGAAGTCTTCCGGTGCAGCCCAGCTGTCGTATTCCGGATCCCCCGCCTCCTTCTTCTGCATGTCGTGTAGTCGCTTCCTAATGACGGGCAGACTATGCTTCGCCGCCTTGCGCCAGAGCCACCAGTTGGGAAGGGCAATCAAGGGCCCGATAATAGGGAGCATGATATGCGGGATCATGTGCATGGCAAAGCAATTCAAGATAACCTGGTCTACGAACGAAACCATGGCCTTGCAGAACTCCTTGTTTCGGCATATCGTGTCGCCGACCAGCATTCTGTTTGTAACAGGCGGAACGATGGTCAACCAGGCATCCCATAGACTAAGTGTCTTCCAGTTATCAGTGTCTGTACCGAATGCCTCGTCGACGGCAACAGCAACCTCCTCTTCGATGCCCGGGACAAGAGTGCTGAGGTGACGCGCCAGACTCTTGTGGATCACCCGCGTATGCCAGACGTCGTCCGCGTAGACCTTGCCTAGGAAGTTGTAGTCGCTGTATAGTACGTCATTGTGCGCTTCGTGGGCGGAGACGATCGAGTCGGGGTGCTCGAGCAGCCATTTTGTGAGGGATCGGGGGAGGACGATGTCGGGAGCCCTGCTCGCAGCGGCGGGTACAATGAATGCGCGGTTCTGCTTGTTGTACTATGCTCATTGTCAGCAATTTCTTTGTCGCGTGTTCAGAGGGACTGTGACATACCTTCTGGTACCCCTCAATGACCCAGTCTCTGTACCGAAAGATGTAGTAGTAGAAGTTCTTGATTCGCGCGACAGTTCCCTTCCCATGGCCAACAACGGGGATGTTCTCGGGGTATGTAGGCTTCCATGTGTGGTCGAGAATGAGCAGCGTGACGAAGACAAAGAAGAGGGATCCGAAGACGCGCCCGGGCGTCAGGGAGTCGGTGATGTAGGCGTGAAGGCTTCCCGCCATGGTGGACAGTCGGTCGGTCTGCTTCCTCTCGGTAGCTTGTCGTCGTTGTTGTTGTCGCTTCTGTTCCTCAAGTCGTCCTGGACATGATCATCTGAAATCCAGAGAGGGAGCGAAGGGTTGGTGGAGGTTAAGTTGCATCGTCGGAGTTTAGCAAGCAGCCGCTACCGATCAGGAGTCGCCAATTGGTAATGTTTCTTTGCTTCAGGTCCATGACGCTCTGGCGCTGTCAAGGACTCAAGCTTGCATTCCCGTCCGCGCTAAAAGACGAGCTGCCCTCCCTGGAGGGGAACCCCGGTCCTGAATTCAGCTGGTGATTGGGAGTTGGCGGTGTAAGCGAAGCACGCTGTGACCTGTTTCAGGTACGTGCCGTGTCTGTCATCGTTCTCGGATCCGGAGCTCTTAACATTTCATCACACGAGTCATATGTCGAACTATTAGACATGTCCAAAGTCTGGGGGAGGTTTACTGCTTTTGGTGTCTCAAACCTTGCCGTATCCGGCTAGATCTGCTTCTTGGGTGTCCAGTCTTTCCCACTGAACTGGCTATGCATCGAGGGGCAGAGGGGACAGCTCCGTGAACCGTGTTCCATGATACGAGGAAACATGATATTTGAGAGCTGCTTACGCTCATTATTTCACGTTGACTCGTTCATGTTCTCAATCGACTGATTTTCAGGGGCAATATGTAACACCATCTTCTCGAAGCTTATCTACCCCGAATCCCCCTTCTCATTTCAACCACAGTCTTCCGACTCTTCCGCTAGATCCAGACGCCCAGCAGACGCGCCCAGCGAGGCACTCGACACTGTCAAACGACCCTGTATCAAACGTCTTCCACGTCCGTCCGCCATCAACTGTCACATCTGATCCGGATGGTCCGACCGCAACCGCGACATTACAAAGACCTGCAGCCCATGATGAACCCGACCGGTATCCGCCCGGAAACGCCTCCGACGCCGTCCACGTTGCGCCTCCGTCTTCCGACCATGACGAGGTGTATGTTAAGCCGTTGGCAACGTTAAAATCCCCGCCGACCGCGATGCCGTTGAGCTCGTCCTTGAACTGCACCGAAAAGACGCCAGCCGATGCGCCACCCGCAATTGCGCTTCCCGAGACGTCCCAATTGTGTCCATCGGCACTTCGAAAGACCCTGCCGGGGTCAACGCCACCAGAAGCAAGATACCACCGTCCCGCCGCCGTTGAAATACACGTCCCACTGGCAGCAAAGCCGAACTCTCCCCCCAACGCAGGTGCCATGCCGCTAGAATCGACAATCTCCCAGGACTTTCCTCCATCCACCGTCTCGATCAATCGAAACTTGCCATCGACAGGATCGCTAACCGCAAGGCCTCTCTCCTCATCCTCAAAGTCGACGCAGTTGAAGAATCCCGCAGCCTCTTCATTCGCAAACGTTTGAGTCCAGGACGCGCCTCCATCATTGGTGATGTACACGCGTGAATCCGCCCCCTCGCCGATGGACAGGATGACGGCCTTCTCAGCAGAAAAGGCTTGCACGTCGCGGAATTGAAGCTCTGCATCTTCCGGCGGGAGTGAAGGTCCGACCGATGACCATGAGGCGCCGCCATCTGTGGTGAGCAGGACGGTGCCATTCGTGCCAGAAACCCAGGCGATCTTATTCGAGACTGGCGACAGTCCTCGAAACTGCTGCTTGCTGCCCGTTGGGAGAATCTCCCAGGTCAAGTTTGCGTGTCGCGATGAAATGCCGATCTGTGGGTTGACAGGCGACGCGACCGCGAGGGCCGCGAAGCCGAGCGAGAGAAGGATGAGCAACATGGCTGATGAAGTGATACATTCGGCTTGCAAGTAGATAAAGAGCCAACCGGCTGCGGTGTTTGTTTTGTCACCTCATCCTGCGGGGTTACACCGCCAGCCTCCTCATGTCGCCAATTCTCTATCGCGACATCCTTCCGCAGATCATTGACGACCTTCCCAATCGGGACGTCAATATCGTGATGCTCGGGTCCTGTCCCACACCGCACTATCCCGAACCATGGACTCGGGTACCGGCAATAGTTGCTCTTTTCTGGCAACCTGCTTTGAGTTTCTGAAGGTGAACACAGTATTGGGCCTATTCAATCTCTTCACCCGTCACTTGCGTTACGCTTGCGAGACATCGACTTGTTGTTTTCTTTCCTTGATCAACCTATTTACAGAACACCGAACTTCAAGAGGTATGTATGTGCAAGAAACAAAGGCACCCTTACTCAAGCTGCCGCCACACTCTCATGCTCGATCCGAGTCACGTTCTGTTCGCTGCCAGAATAGCGGTTTTTCACAATCCACCATCCGTAAACTCCCCGTTGGCAATAGCCTCAGTAATCTCTTCGTCCGCCTCAAAGTATCCCGCAAGATCAGTCCTCTTCTCAAGCAGCAAGTCAACGACCATTCTTCCAAACACCTTCTCACCCGCCAGGCTCAAATGGGTGCGGTCAGAGCCACCGAGGTTGTAGGCGATTGAATTGGCCTCTCCGATGGCATTAACGTAGTCAGTGCTCTTCATGTTGAGGTCGAGCCACTTGATCTTGCTCTCCTTCGCCGCAGCGATTGTCTTGCCGCGCCAGTCGTGCAGGTTCTGCACCACCTCGCCATCCTCAAAGGTTCGGCGAGTGAGCGAAGTGATGAAAATCTTTCCTCGTCAGTCATGATCATCCATGGCATTACATCGAGCAGGATAACAGAAAAGCTCACCGGTGTAGCTCCAGCACTCTTGAGCTCAGCAGCGATGTCAATCAGATTCGCTCGGAACTCATCCAGCTCCATGACCTTCTGGTCATTGTGCCCAAATTGAACAGTCACGATCGGCTCATAGTCTGCCTTGGTGTCCTTGATGGATGCTTTGCTGACTTGAGCGGGTGTTCTGTCTGGCTTCCTGAGATGATATGCCAGGCTAACATTGACTTCTTATACGCATCGGCTTCAACCTAAGATACTACCGTATCACTAAGATTGGTTCTTGTCTTCAAACCTCCTTTTTTCCGCATTTTCACGATGACGTTCTCTCGGGGGAGACAACTCAAAACGATGTCCAATGCAACAGAACACTTCCAGATTCGCATCGTGAGTTCACAGTCATGCCGTCCCGGGCCCCACAGCCGTGCATTCCACCACTCGCATCTGGCCCATTCGGCCGAGTCTTGCAACTGCAGCTGAAATTTCTCCAAATCAAGAAACTGCACGCCGGCACTTCGTGACGATCAAGGTCTATTAGGATGGAAAAGCATGCAACACGACACAATGCAAAAGACTGAGACGGGCGAAGAACAAGCTCACCCGCCACATCTTTGCACCGAAGCCACCATATCAAAGTAGCCCAGGGTTCCATCAGACCCCCAACGCGGACAGCTCCGCTCGTCGTAGCCACATGGCATAGCAGATCTCCCCCCAATTTCAGACGAACAGGGTGGGTGCTCCGGTGAGCCTCAGCGATCGGCAGTCGTTTTTGACGCTTTCGGCCTCACTGTCGTCTTCCCTAACGGTGGCCGGGGCATGTCTCTCGGGTTCGCTCTCGATGCCGAAACCGCGGGATGTTTCAACCCCACAGCGGGCTTGTCAGTTTGCGTAGCAAGACATGAAAGCCAGCAGACAAATAATCTTATTTAGCGCCAGTGTTTAGCGTTTATTAAGACCTCTACGATAAATTTTCACCTTTTGAGGGCATACGGCAAGTTGACCTGCGATGTAGTCGTCGTAGACGAGGTTGAGTTTTCTGAGGTCCTGTCTGAAGGCGCTAGTAGACACTCAAGTGCCGACGACCCATAGATCGCCGTGAGAGTGGTACGATGACCAACACGGCAACATTTTGACTCCGGTTTTACGACTGAGAATGACACGATACTGGTCATGAGAAACATGAGCTTGTCAGCTGGCGTCCCAGGAGATGTTCAGCCAAAGGCTACAATTGCTACTGGAGATGTTGGCAAGAACGGCGATTACGCGCAACCCTGGAATCCGTTGGAGAGTCGATTCAAATGGCAGCAACGGTCCGTGATCTTCATGGAAACAGTATGGTCATTATCATGGAATTTTGTCTCTATCTAGTGCACAGAATAAGTTTGCTCTACGGATACGGACACTCTTCCCAACACAAGCAGAAGGGTGGATCGCGTGGTGGATATGACGTGCTGCATTCACCGGAAGGGCCCCCGTTAGCGCCCGCTCACTTAAAATTGAAGGGAGATGCAGCGCTTACCGTCTGCATGTACTCTTCAGTTTCACCAGAGATCCCTAGTTTTTACGATGGCCAACAAACACGCTAAGATCGATTTCGGGAATCCTTAATGGGTGTCTGCGTGCTTGGCGCTTCCTATCCCGGCAAAGGGGTACGACATCCCTGCAGTTGTTGATAACGAGTCCATTCCCAACAGACCGGACTACTCCAGCCGATGATGGTTGGCTGTTAGGGAGTTGAAGAAGCCTATGGCTTGAACCTCTTTAAAAAGCTCGACGTTTGCAGATAGGCTTCAAGTTCTGCAGACAACTTCTGTTTTCGTTCAGTGGTGTCACGTCGTTCTTTTCTCCGGCTGTTTGTTTGCCTTCACACTCCTTTGTTCCACTTCGACTTCAAATCCAATATTTTTCAGCCAACCACTCATTCACTGATACTATCCCTTTCGAAATTCACCATCAACATTGACCATGGGTATTTTCAACGTTTTACTCTGCGCCAGCGCAGTCAGCGCTTACACCGTCACCAATGTTGGTCGATTCATGTTGAAGAATATTTATCCCGTCGTCATCCCGGGCCAATATGCCTCCCACATGCACACTTTCTTCGGATCCGATGCTGTGACTGCGAACACCACGACCTCCAAAGAACTTCAGGCCGGTTGCTCCACTGCCGAGAACCCCAACGATTACTCTTCCTATTGTAAGCCAGTCTCTGAATTTTATCCACTACCTGTTTTCAATCCGCATTCTACGTCTGCACATCCTGTTCCCAGATGACTAACTTGCAAAGGGGTTCCCACTCTTTTCTACAAGAACTCTACCGGTACCTTCCCGGCTCCCATCTTCCGCTTCAGCGCCTACTACGTCAGTATCGACAAGGCCGAAGTAGCCATTCCCCAGAACTACAAAGCTGTCGTTGGCAACTCCTCTGCCACCTCCCAGGACGGCGTAGAGAACCTCGCCGGAATCCAGTGGTTCTGCGACCACGGCGGCCAGGGCACGACCGACGGCAAGGATGCCGCCGAATTTCCTTCCAAAACCTGCCCCGCTCATCTCCAGACGATTCTCCTCTTCCACGAATGCGTCAACGAGACCACCCTCGAATCGACCTATTCTGGCGTCCAACACTGGACGAAGACCTTCCGCCCCGAGAACCGCTGCCCTCTGGGCATGAAGAGAATGCCGCAGCTCAGATTCAGCATCCGGTATGATCTGCGTACCGCCCTGCCTGATGGCTGGGATGGTCCTGCGCCGTTGGAGCTGGCTTGCGGATCTTCGTACTGCACCCATGGCGACTTCATCAACGGATGGCTGCCCGAGGCCGCCGAGAATATGCTGAAGGCGAATGACAAGAGAGACTTTGCCGGTGTCGATGGGCCGAATGGAAAGTATAACGCCGGCACTCTTTGCAAGACAACCGCTGTCGATGCGGACCCCGAGCATGGCACTTCTGACTATGCGAAGAGCAAGGAGATCTTGGCCAGCCTGAAGGGCTGAGATGCGAATCTAGAAACCATGTTGGATCGGAGGTGTCCCGAAGCAACCCAAAGCAGTCCGTGTTTAACACAGGCTAGTTACTCTTCCTCGATCGGAGAATAGTCTGGAGTTTGGCATAGCTTGACATCCTCTTCATGTTCAGGCGATGGCCCCTCCTGAGTCTGGCACGGCATTATTGTTATTTTACCACTTGTAATACTGTAGCAACAACACTAGTGTTGTCCAAAAATATTCGATTCTTGAACTAAATACTGAACAAGTACCAAACTATCCAGGGTGTTGACTGTGATTCAGATCGGTGCAGCTGTTGTAAAGTGACACAGTGCATCAAGTCATCGATGAGCTTCGTAGCGGCTCAATGCTTTCGATGATGACGATGACGAATGACAAGTCCTCGGGGCTCACGCTGTCTAAAGAGTAGACCACTAATGCCCGGATGCCTCGATTTATGTGAATATTATCAGCCAATTAGTCGGTCCTGTCTTCTGAGTAAGCTAGATACTAGCCCAAACCAGCAACTTCAGTTAAACTGAGTTCGGGACTTGAAATCCGGGCGTAAGTTCGGGCGGGGCGGGTGCGAAATGGTCCCTTGACCGATGATTACAAACGCGACGTCCTCTTGGCCATACCAGTGATGGTTTTGAACTACGATCACATCGTAAAACTGGCTTACAACTCAGGAATTCAGGAGAAGTCCTATGAGTATCATAGGTTAACTGTAAAGGTGAAGGAGTAGCCCGGCTGTGCCAAGTGACTTCCGAGCACAATTCCCGAGGTCTCATACCAAGACCCACTCACTCCCGATGCTCGTAACAACCGAGACGACGAACTTCCGAGCCTGCAATTATCACAAAAATTGGATCAAATTCTCCGCCCATCAGACGTTTTGCGTCGAATCGGTACTAACTTACGTAAATTCTCTGATGCGCGGAGTGTGGTGCACTGTGTGGCTACCGAGTTGCTTGACTGGAGAAGGCGTGCTTTCACCGTTCACCGATACAGTCAACTCGTATTCACACCGATGCAAGACATGAGAATATCAGGCTGCCAATCATTTTGAGATCAGTCAGACAGGTGTTGAAGTACCTAATATCTCGGGCGCAAACTTGACTGAGGGGTTCAAAACGCGGGGAAGCCGGTTGAATGACGGTGCCTCGGTTGAAAGTTTATTATATCTAATCGCGGCCTTCTAGATCCATCTTCTACATCATCGATAGTCGTCGTCGATACAATTGACTCGTAGTTCAGCAGTTCAGTATGGCAGACACCGAACCACAATCAGTGCTCGTCTCCAAGACGCCGGAGGGCATTACGACAATAACGATCAATCGCCCTCACCGGCGCAACGCAATCGACGGTGCAACCGGTCGCAAGCTCACGGATGCATTCCTTGCATTTGAGAAAGACGACACGCAAAAAGTATGCGTGTTCAATGGCTCAAACGACTCGTTCTGCGCGGGTTTTGACCTTCACGAAGTCGCAACTTACCACAACCCCGATGGAAAAGACTATAAGGGTCCCATCATCGATGAATCCCATCGCGTAGATGGGCGAAATATCGGTCCCATCGGTCCGTCGCGTATGCAAATCAAGAAGCCCGTCATCAGCGCCGTGTCAGGTCATGCGGTGGCGGGTGGGCTGGAACTCTCCCTTCTCGGCGACATGCGGGTTGCCGAAGAGGACGCCGTGTTCGGCGTGTTTTGCCGCCGGTTCGGCGTGCCGCTTATTGACGGCGGCACGGTCCGGTTGCAGGCTATCGTGGGGCTGGGCCGGGCTCTGGACATGATCCTCACCGGCCGAGCTGTGGGTGCGCAGGAAGCACTGCAGATGGGTCTTGCGAACCGAGTTGTGCCCAAGGGCAAGGCCTTGGAAGAGGCTACGAAGATCGCAAAGCAGCTCTTGGCGTTCCCGCAGGCCTGCATGAACACAGACCGGGCGAGTTGCTATTACGCAGCGTACAATGCCTCTTCGTTTGAAGATGCCCTGAGCAGGGAATTTGATGCGGGGATCAAGGTCATCAGCTCGGAGAGCGTGAAAGGCGCGGCACGATTTAGCAAGGGGGCTGGACGACATGGAAGTTTTGAGGAGTCAAAACTTTGATGCTTCTATGGGAACGGGCCTACGATGCGGTTTGCTTCGGCTCGGAGCCCCATGTTCGCACGGCGGGTTCAGCAGCACACCGATCACATTACAGGCAGAGATTCCTGGCAAAAACGATGTCGCAATGGCTGTTACGGAGCTCGGTGGGTTCGACAAATCACGTCTCGGCTAGTGTAGGGCGAAGATGACATGGCGGTCGGCAAGGGCGTCCAATGCCAACGGGCGTCGTGAGGCGCTGGCTGGCACATGTAAGAGACTTACCAGAATGATTAACTTAAGTTTGACTCATACTGGATTGTCGAACATGAGGCCGGACCACTGAGAATGCTGGTTTCCGATGGTGTGAGTGTGAGTAAGTTGTTCGCACGCGAAATCCACCAGTCGGTAACACTTCGACCCCTGCAAGCGGCATCGTTTTCGGTTCTGGCCTCTCGGGAGTTGATGTCTGCGCGGAAGTTTTAATACTAAGACTACGACGGATTGCTCCAGGACTCATCTGCTTTCAAATGTTGGACTGAGTTTGAAGACAAATCGCTTTGATTGTTAATACATCGGGATTCATTTCCCACCTTCAAGAAGCCATCAAACGCCTGGCTTAAAGGACAAGACTTGGCATGGCTGTCCTACAGCCAAGCTGCCGACCGGATCGCCGGTACGGCCAGAGATTGGGCTCATCGATTCCCACACTGACATGCGGTCTATGCGCTGGTCACGCAATGAAGAAGCTTACGAAACGCATATCGACTTTGGCCGCAACAACTTCAAAAGCCACGATTATGGACATCAATATCGACAACCACTACACATCGAAGGTCTACACTTGCGGTACAACGATATCAGGCCATGTCTCAATCAATCCGCGCCACGACACAGAATTTAGCTCAGTTCAGATCAGCCTCCAGGGAAAAGCAAGTGTCCGCATCGACGACACATACTCTTCCAGGCAGACATCACAGATTCTCTTGAAAGTCGATATGCCGGTGGCGGAATCGGCATATCCCGAATCAAGAATATTCAAAGCCGGAGAGACATACAAGATACCGTTTCGATTCATCATTCCCAGCCAACTGACAGAGGCTGCGTGTCAACACGACGTCGAGTCAACGTCGATACGCGATTATCACCTGCGGCTTCCTTCCAGTCTACTAAGTTGGGGCAAGTACGACATGACTCCCAAGCTCTTGGGCATTCGGTATCATATCAAAGCAAAAGTTGTGCGAGAGTCTGGTCCGCAATGCCCCAAGCCGTCTGAAGTTCTCTCAGAGGCTCAATACGAGATCAACCTACTTGCAGCATCTCCAGAGGAACCGCCACTAAGTGTCAACGCACGGGACTCGCAATATTGCGTTATCGAATCAAAGAATGTTTCAAAGGCCTTGTTCTCAGGGCCGTTGGGCCGTGTCGCTGCAGCAGCGGCACAGCCGCCTACAATCCACTTGAGCCGGGACGGACGCACCGCTTGCAGCTCCTCTTTTCAAGCGAACCTTATCTTTGAACCATCTGTTACAAGTGTTACTCCGCCGAAAGTAGTTTTGCAGTCGATCAAAATTGTTGCGCAAACCTGGTATTCGACAAAGGTCATGAACGGCTTGCCCAACATGGGCTCCCTTCGAGAGCCTTTCAATATTTCGGCGCGAGTACTGTGGGAGACTCTGGAATACGAGTCTTGGAAACCCAAGACGATTCCCGATAGTCAAGATTCTGCAGAGGCGAAGGAAGAAAGCTGGGATTCGGCACCGCCGACGCCTTATTCAACGACTTTGCGAGCTGAGTTTCGCCTGCCCACTGAGAAATACGTTTTCCCGCCGACCTTTCACTCATGTCTGATATCAAGAACGTACGCCTTAAAAATTAGCCTGAGCGCTGGCGGTACTGATATCAGCCTGGTATTACCCATTCAAATTGCCATGGAAGCAAACGAGCAGCCGACAGCGAGGCTGCAGGATGCGGAGTTGCCAGTTTGGAGACCATGATGGGTTGCTGATAGCCCCTCTGAGGTTGGAGATGCAAGATGTGCTAACATCTTGAGCACAAGTAATGATATCGGAATTGGTTTTTGGTTACCGGCGTTTGGAGTGGTTTTCGAGGCGGCACCGGAGTTAGGAAGAGCGTAATCTCAAGTCCTTGAACAATCAAATGTTGATGGTTTTCCTAGCCCATATCTGTACATACCAGCAGTCATCGCTCTTGTTTTTAGCAAAGATATATCTCACCATCCTCATCAAAATCTGAATATCGGTCCTCGAACTCCTTTTGACATGCAGCTTCGTCGCTGTCCTCCGTCTCGTAAGACAGCCAGGCCTTCGGCATAAGTCCACGACTTGGTGAAAGCCATCTCACTGTTGACAGAAAGCAATCTCCGACAAATTGGAAAATCTTGGGATGCTCCGCCTCAGCCCCGTCTTCGACAGGTTGGGAGTGGACGACATGGACTCCACCCATAGGGCGCGCGAGGTATGTCGCTGCCCAGACGTTTTGGAATGCCAAGGGCGCATACGCTACATCTTGAAAGAATTCTTTCGTGATGGGGTGCTCAAATTGTTCTCCATCACGGAAGTGCTTTCTTCTGAGAGGAAGGGAAAAGATTCGGTCGCCAAGCTCGAGGTGGTCAGGTCCAATACCGACAATATCGAATGGCAAAGCATCCGCAGGCGGATTATCTACGTCGCAGGTGAGAACGCAGCGATGCTCCATTGTCAGAGAAGCCATTTGAAAGACGTGATGCCAGCCTGGAACAGTGATATCTGGATCGTTGAAAATGACCTCCTTGAGAAGTTTGACGATGATTGGTGCAAGCAGTTCATCATTCATCTTTTCGGCATCATCCCAAAACTGACTTGGATGAACGAGAATGTCGAGCATTCTTCGGGGACTTTGCTCATGAGAGAAACTTGTCATGGTCTGTATCGTTTGTGCCAATTCTGCTAGCTCTGCTGCGGCGCTCTTGAGTTTTCTGGAAAGACGCTTGTCGCTGTACATATATGCACCGGCCACGAGGACGTAACAGAATCGATCGGCAAGCCGTTCTTTGACATCATCTCCACGGAGCTTGGTATCCATGCCGGAGAGTCCTACCTCCCAGATGGACTGAAAAGTCCGTCTTATCCACTGATCCACGTCCTCTGGTGTTAACTGATTAGAAGGGAAAGCTTCGCTTTTCCAAGTGACCACAAAGGGACACGTTCGGTCTTCTTCTGCGGATTCCCATGAATCTTCCGCCGCAGTGCCGGTGGTTTGGCTCAGAAAAATCGGACCTAATCGGGTACGAATTCGATAGGCGAATGACCCTGGTGAGATAGGAAATCTCGCAAGGGCGCAATGAACCAAAGGTGTTCCAATTGCGCTACCGAGGTTGACCCAGGGTCCCCAGCGGACATCGTTGCCTTCAAGCCAGAGTGCGTGGCGGTGGTACTTGACAGTCCAGTTCGGCACCCATCGAGGGAGCAAATCTAAATCTGGATGAGACATAGATCCTTCGGTGGAAGCTGACAGTCTAGCAGAAGCTTGGCCAAGCATCCATCCTAGTTTGCCATTAATGGCTAAGGAGTAGGCGAAGAGAATGTAGATATCAGCTGTTGTCGCCTCATAGTTTACATACGTCTCGTGGGAGCGCCAAGTCCGAAGATCTTTCGTTGGGTCCCCCGACTGTTCGGTAGCCAAAGCCTGATGAACCCACTCCACGGTTACGTTTCTCACGGTCATGTCTTTTGCTAGAGTTGCCAATTTGAAAATCCGGTCTCGAGGGTTCTGGCACTCGTATTCGTCGAATGCAAGCATGAGACTAGTGAATTCCATCTCGTAACATGAATATGTGGCGACATGCTTGTAGAAGAATAGGTTGAACACGGCGTCGAGTCCCTCCGCTCGTTTCAAAAGCCTTGGACCAAGTGTCATTGCATACTGGGAGTGCATAAGTTGCAGTGCGTTCCGACCAACATCAAAGAGGTGTTTCGAGACTGCTCCACAGTAGACGACTGTATTCCGGTTGAGCACCGCCTCGTGTATTACCCAGCGGCGACTAAACCATGGGAGATGCAAAGCGTTTTGAACGCAAGGAGGGTTCTCTCTACCGGGTACGTCTTCATCCGAGGGGAGAGAACGCAATGCTTCTTCTGCTTTCTTGTCGTGGCCCAGCCAAACGAGTACACCCTTGGCCTCGGTGTATATAGCGGTCATCATGGCGATATGGTGGCTCTTTTCTTCGACACTACCTTGATCAATACAAACGCCATCGGCCCACAACCTCCTTGGGACGGTAGTTGGAAGGTTCGAATGCTCTTGACCATTCACAGAACCCAGAGGGTACTCAGTGTGTCGAAACCGGCGGAGAACTTCGCTCAGATTCTGAGTGATGGAGAGACTGTATTCCATCTTGTCATTCTCGGCGGCATCATCCTCGGTGACGAAGATTTGGCAGCAAATTCGGGCTGTCCCCAAACATAAGAAATGGCCTCGTAAGAACCCTTCGCCTCTTCAAGCTCAGCCTCGAGCAGTCGGCACCTCAATATGTCGGTACTGTGGGTAGCTGGGAAGACTTCAATGATGCGAGTACACGTCTTGGTTGACAGGGACTTGTGCTTGTACGCTTTTAAAAGCGCTGTACCTGGCTTTGTCGCCATTCCTGATTTGTGGGTAGTGCGAGAGATGGTAGAATTGAACGGAAGGATGCGTAAAATGGGGTGTTTTGCTTGGCGTGGATATGGGCCGATGCTCTCGGAAAAGATGGTTTTTCTGAGCGGACTTCATGCTGCGGTCTAGGCCGGCTGGCAAAGCTGACTATCACTGCATATGTAACTGTTCTCATTTGGTTGATTGGAGCATACGCAGTTACATCTCCTTCGATTGGTGAGTGCCTGCGATTCAGCGCCTAGCTCCCTCTCGTGATTACTGTCTCAGGTCAGCTCCTGCCAGACCCTCTTCTCAATGTCAGCCACAGTCTAGTAGTACTTTTTCGCCCAACCAAAACCTCTTGATTCCTGAGTCACCGCTTTCTCAGTCTTGTCTGCTATCCCTTGCGATATGCAACCGCCGTGTCTCATCATCACAGGAGATAAGGACAAGAAACAACTGTACTCTAATACCCAGATTGGAACTTAAGAAAACCCATCTACTCCTTGACAGCATTTCTCAATAGATTTATTATCTAGGATTTTGGAAGAGCTTGTAGACCGCAATCATATCCTCCTCATTAAGACCAGCCTCCGTAGCCTCCTTGTACACCTCTCGGCACAGCTCGGCGTATGGTGTTCTAACATTCGCATCCTCCGCTGCTTTCACAATCATCTGAGTGCTGCTATAGCAGTCCTTCACCGCCGCCTGCGGAGCCCAGTCGTTGTTCACAAGCTTGGGGATCTTGACTTTGGTGTATGCTGAAGCCATTGGTCCGGCGTCGATGACTTGCCCGAATGCTTCCAAGTTTAGCCCTTGTGCTTTCGCCAGACTAAATGACTCGGCAAGCGCGGCAGTCATGTTGTTGAGATACAAATTGACGGCGTACTTGGTCTTCAGACCAAAGCCTATCGGGCCACAGTAGATCGCTGCGGCGGTGAGAGGCTCCACATACGGCCGCATCTGCTCCGCGATTTTCGGATCCCCGGCCAAAAGCCCCACAAGTCGGCCCTGCTCCGCCGGGATCTTGCTCCCGCTCACCGGCATCTCGATGAAATTGCCACCTGCCCTTTGAACTTGCTCCGCCACATGTTTGCTGATATCGACTGGTATGGAGGCCGTGTTGATGAGTGTTTTCCCGCGAATTGCGCCTCGGAAGTCATCGTTGAATATTGATGTCAAGGCTGCGTCGTCGAAGAGCATCGCGAAGATGACGTCGGATTGTTCAACCACTTTCGCTGGTGTCTCGCCAATCTTAGCACCGGCTTTTGTGAGTGGTGGATACTTGGAAGCCGTTCGATTCCAGACTGTGACGGCGAATTTGCGAGTGAGGTTCAGGGCCATAGGGGTGCCCATGACCCCGAGGCCAAGGAAACCGACTCGCATACTGGAAGTTCGCAAGAAGGAATACCGAAACAGTTTTGTTTATGTTGAATGAAAATTTTGAGATGGCCGCTGCTCAAATAACAGAGTTGTGATGGAAGCCGAGAGTATCCGCCTGGTCAGGGTGTTGAACGAGATACAGGGTTCATCAAGGTTTGTATGATATCCGGAACACATACACCATATTGGTCTCTTTCGTGATGATTCGCCGCAAGTCTGCAGGGCGCAGCGGCGTGTATATGTTGTTAGTTTCACGCCCTAGGGCGAGCCATCGTGGTGGATCGTTGCATGACGGCGAAGGCGCACGAACACAGGACCCATAATAATCATGTCGATTTCTCCCTACGCCTTACGGCTGACGCGATTGGGTCTAACAAGGGCGCACACAACAGGCCGCGCAGATGAAGAAATTGATGCGAATTGACTGGATCATAGTATTAATGCCTTCCTAACATTTACCGATGTTGGCTGACTAAATCTTCTCCGATATCGCAACTTTCGCAACGCAATTCAGCGATCGCTGAGCGGAAAGCCAAACGGCAGCAGAGCATTGGGATAGGGCGACAACTTCCGCTCCTTCGTGAACGCATAACTCATCCTTTCCATTAAAACTGATGAACATATTCGCGTTGAAAATCTGAACCAATCAAGTCATACGGCTGGCGGATTGCCATCTTCTTGCAGGATACCCATTTCGCGCTTGAACTCGCGGAGCCAATCTGGGTTATCGGCAGGAGTCTGATTCCACGGGTCATCACTGGGACCGTTAGCATATTTCCATTCACCTTGAAGATTATGATTTGACTCACTCTTCAAATGAGATCCACCGCGCTTGATGTTGAAGTTCGGCGTCTGAGGGAATATGTCTGTTCGGGTTTCGTGGTGACGTCGTGATCTTGACGAACCGGACTAGACTCAGAGCAAGGCGCCGATAGCAGTTCTCTTCGTTCACAAAGAATGTGGTACGTGTGTTGAGTCCCGGCATGTCGGCATCGGCACCCGAAGCAGTATTGCCAGTTGCGCTGCTACCGACGACGTCAGCTTCAGGGCTTGAGCTTCCTGTGTCCATGGCGCTGGACTGGCCAGTAGGTTCTGTAAGGGCAGCGCTCAGGAAATGCTGGTTTCCGATGTCCAAGGTAGGGGAATCAGCAGACTCTGAAGGCGGAAGCTGCATCCGTTGACGGAAAGGTGCCAGCCAGTGCGTTGACTCGTTGATCAGGCCGTATAAGAATGTGGAAAATGTCTCGGACGGCTTTGGCGACGATGGCATTGTCCAGCAACTTGATGCAGAATCAACTTGCTGGACAATGCTGCACGCCTCGCGCTGAAGATCCGAGTCCGAGACTTCGGGCTCGATGAGCTTCGATATGTCCACGTAGCTTTGGAGTTGTTCCTCTAAGGCACATTGGTCAAAGATGTCGGCTTTTCCGTTGATGCAGAGATATGTGATGCGAGACCTCCTGGCTGTCTTCAGCGGTCGAACTCGGGCTTGCTTGACGATGATATCCGACGACATGAGCAAGTCTCGCAGCCAAGAGCTTGCTGGAGTCACTGGCTTCTTGGCGAGAGAGGTAGGCTCCGAGCCGAAAATAATGCAGCAACTTTCGTATAGAAGCTCGGCATTTGTAGGCATTCGGCCATTCGTGTTTTGGTAGTCTGTCGCGAAGTGGTTGATTTCCGTCTTGATCAACTCAAAAGCGCTGGGTGGCGTCTCTGGAACGCCTTGTTTGGTAGTGAAGGGCCATGGTGAATACCGCTCCATATGAATCATATCTGGAGAATGAAGGTCAGCTATGGCACATTCCATATGCATGGGGGAGACTGACAAGGCGCCATTGAGTTCTCAACCATCTTGAGAATATGGTCATCAAAGCCCCAGTCTCCATGCCACTCCTCCATCGTCTTTCCATCCTTGAAGTGCTCGGCGATGTGATCGATTCTGTCAATCCATGATCCCATCACCAAAGCACAGAAACCGCAGCGAGATCTTATCATCTCATTCTCGTGCTTCCAATCCCCCATGGGCCATCGCAGGAACTTGGCATCGTGCACCAGTTTGAGGTGCTGCTGTAGATGATCCTTCCGGTAGAAGGTTCGATCTTCTGGTAGTCGCTCTTTGCAGACTGAGTAGTTGTGCTTCTCTAGGTGATCTTTGTCCGGGTTGGCATCACCACAGAAGACGCAAACGAGCTGACCACTGGCATCGGCGACAGTTGGCCCTGTTGGCGAACATTCCCACCGCTCCAGAGACAAGTGCAGAGACTTCTCGTGACGTTGCCAATTGTGCTTTGTCTTGAACGTCTCGGTACAGAACGTGCATTGATACATGTTCATAGTCTGCCAGAGGTTGCTTGGACCTTTCCGTTCTGGTCGCGCTGCAGCACCTCGTCGCCTCCTTCGCTTGATTGCAGCTTTTGCCAGTGGATCTGAACGCAATGATGCTCGAGAGTTGTGAGAGTATGCTGAGTTGACTGAGCTCCTGCTCGAATGCGACGTCCCTGCGCTGCTTGCAGAAGACGCATTATAGAGAGACCTCGTAGGAGCGCTGTCGGTCAAAGATCGATCTGCCGGGGTATCGGATCCAGGTGGTAAGTCGTACACAGCATGCGCAATGGCAGATGCCAATGCAGGCTCGTGCTCAGGCGGCGACACTTGCCATCGCTGAAGAGGGTTCATCTCGTCGAATCCTTGAGGAACACTGCTTCCACCAATGTTGATGGGCTTTGAGGTGGCTGAAGTGATGGCGGGGGATGGGGGCCGTTTGGGAGGAACCTTGAATCGGTTGCGTCTCCGAGTGTTGGCGAGCCAATTGGTGATCTGTTGTCTGCTGAGACCAGTCTGCCGCTCTAGCATCTCCATATCGGCGGTTGAAGGGTAGGGGTGGTGGTTATTATTCGAGAGCCATGCTTTGAGAATTCGGAGAGACTTTGAAGAGAACCGAGTCCCGATTTTGGGCGGCGTGGTCATCTCTGAAGCTGGGTTCCCGTCTACACTAAGTGTTGTTGTTCCGGTGTCGAGCAAGTGCCTCGTAGACTGCCCGTCACCAATTGCCTCCGAAAACATGAACATTTCTGCGTCGTCGAAAGTTGTGCTTGTGCTTGGCATCGCCGTTTGGGTGTTGGCGAGGCCGGACCCTCCGGTCACGGCGGGATCGAAGAGAGCTTCATCTTGCTGGTGAGATGAAAGTCCTGCATTGCGCAGCAACTCAACTGCATCCAGATTTTGTAAGTCTTGTAGAAAAGAGTCTTCCGGGTAATTGACTTGAGAGGAATTGGTCAACTGCGCTTTGAGCAAGTCAAACTCCAGCGCGGCGGTGAAGTCGCCGACATCGCGTGCGTTGTTGTCATTGGCTGGACCGCGCTTGTCCATTGCTGACCGAGTTGTGTAAGTGCTTGGAGAGATGCATTTGGCAGGTGCTGCACAATGTCATCTGTTAGTATTAGATAGGATAATAGTTCGTCCGATGCGACATGGTCTCACAGAAGAGTCATCTTGCTCGGTCTTCACCCCACATGAGCCGGCGTCATATCCGGTGTGCGGGGCATAATTGCCCCGAGTCATAGGCTCACACCCGGATCTACCATGAGCCAGTCGTCATTTTAACCTCCTTCGTCGAAAGAAGTATGTATTACCGGTCAAGAAGATGTTCAGGTATAAGCAGTATTGTAAGCAGCGGCTTCAACAAAGCTCCGACCTAGATTACAGATTTTGAAGTTGTCTTTCATCGAAGATCACCATGGGCAGTCCCTGCTCGGCTTGAACGCCGCAAATAGCCTTCGGCCAGCGACACCCAAACACATTCTGCCAGCCATCGCAATGAATTCTGGTCCATCTTGACCGTCCGGCGTCCCGGGGCCGAGTCCGGCCAGAGTTTCCATTCCGAAAGACCCATCTCTGGTGAAATTCGGCGACCGAGCGGCTTCCCTTGTCCCCGGCCGATCTCGGAGCCGGAGCGAGACTGAACCCACCAGGCCTGCCACAACACTAAGAACGCGACTCGCTAAATACCTGGCCAGTCTCTCGGAAGATGTCCGACGAACTGCCCAGACCGGGATGAACCCCCACACGCGGGGAAGAACGCCCAGCCGGGGGCAATGAGCTTCTTGTTCCAGCGAGTTCTGGGCGAGACTGCAGGGGCTTTAATGGCGATGTTGAATCCAGTCACCGACGTCGGAATGGTAAGCATGGGGAGAATGGGGCATATCCGATGTTTGACCTGCTTAACCTAGGCAAACTACTGCCGGATAACGCTGCCGAAGATCTTTCTGCCCGATCTTTGTGCCCGGTGACGAGTGCCGGCGCTGGTGTTTGAAAGACTTGAACGTGCATCTTGACAACTCGCCAGCTTGTCGCGAGGCAGCTAAATCGTACCATCTTTCCACAAATCCTACGTGGATGACGTAAAGAACCGCCATTGCTTGTCCCGCGAAGACAAGCCCGGAACATGTCGCAAAACCAACATGAAGACGACTCAAAGTCGGAGTCGGTGGATGTGGAGCCTGACCGCCACGACTTGCGACTGACGACATCGAACGCGGAGAAGAGCGCGACGATTTTGCCCGCACCGACTGAGGACGATGCTCAATTGAGCCGCCAAGACACGGAAGCGATCTATGCCAAGTTTTCGCCGAACCGGAAGAGACTTGTCACGGCTGTGGTGGCTTGTGGTGGGATCTCGTCAACGGTGTCCACTCTGCTGCTCTTGGCAGCGATTCCCGAAATTGCGGGCGAGTTCAACACTAGTGGAAGCATCATCAATGTTAGCAATGCCATCTACACGGTGTTCATGGGTATCAGCACCCTATTTTGGGGACCTTTGAGCCAGGTGTATGGACGAAAATGGGTAGGTAGCTGGGCAAAGAAATGTCGAGGAGCATTGACTAACTTGACTAGCCATGTATTCTATCTGCAGCTGGGTTCTTTGGGTTCTCCGTGGGAACGGCATTGGCTCCTAACCTTGCCGCCTTCTTCGTTTTCCGGCTGTTGTCAGCCTTCACGGGAACAGCTTACCTCGTACTAGGCTCAAGTTGCATCAGTGACATTTACAAGCCCACGGAGAGAGGCACTGCCTTGGCATGGTTCCTGAACGGCACCCTGATCGGCCAATCCTTCGGTCCCTTCATTGGCGGTGTTATTGTCACGTATCATAGCTGGCGAGTCTTATTCTGGTTTCAGTCGGGCTTGGGGGGACTCACAACCGTCCTTGCCGTACTTGCGCTACCAGAGACAAGCCACAAGATGAGATCGAAGGAGTTGGAAGGGCTCGACTTTAAGACAAAGGTTGGGAAGGTTTGGGACTGGACCAACCCTTTCCGAGTCCTTGCATTGTTCCGTATTCCGAAACTTCTGGTGGCAGTAAGTTTCCCATGCCATGATTGTTCATTGTCTGGATTCCAATCTCTAATCACGACCTCGTAGGGAATCGCCGCCTCGTCTCTGGTGTGGAATATGCAGTCACTCTTAACACCCATCCGATACGTCATCAACCCGCGCTTCCACCTGACGACCCCTCTGCAGTCCGGTCTCTTCTTCCTAGCCCCAGGAATCGGTTTCTTCACTGGTACATACTTCGGTGGTCGCTATACAGACCATACAGTAAAGCTCTGGATCAAGCGTCGAGGCCACCGCCTTCCCGAAGACCGTCTGCGCAGCTCCTTCGTGGCCATGGGCATCGTCATCCCGTGCGCGATCCTGATATATGGGTGGGCAATCGAGAAGGAGAAGGGTGGCATCCCGTTGCCGGTGATTTGCATGTTCGTACAAGGTTTCGCTCAGACCATTTGCTTCCCCAGCATCAACACGTATTGTCTTGATGTGTTCAAGGGACGGAGTGCAGAGGTGATAGGTGAGTTCCCTCCACCCACAGCCCGAGATGAAAGTAACTGACTTGAATAAGCTGGAAATTACTTCTTCCGCTATGCAATCGCGGCCGTTGGCACAGCTGTGTGTCTTCCGGCCATTAACAGGATTGGCGTTGGCTGTTTTAACACCATCACGGCCCTGTTCGTGTTTGGGTCCACAGCAGCGGTGTTCTGCGTCGTCATGATTGAGTCACGAAAAGACGAGAAGAACTCTGGCGAAGGAGTATGAATGAAATGAATCAATAATTCAAGCCCTTAAAGTATTGAGGAAATCCGAGTGATCGACCCTGTGCCGAGTCCAGTCCACCTGCAGTCGCGCAGTACGAGCACGCGGTCTACGTGTCTATGTGATAGGATGTCAGATTTTAGTGACGAAGGCGGTGTAATTGGGCCAGTCATCTTTGTGTTTCTAGCGCCATCTGGATCAATTTCTGCACAAGTCCCCTGGAACCTAGATTGACATGCAGCATGCCTAGCTGCCGATTTAGTGGCGGTCTGCGCCCTTGAAAGACGCGGACGACATGCCCCGCACTGATAGCCTTTCAAGGTCGCAATGGTTGAGACAACGACATTCAATTGCTCATAAGACATGCCAACCCTGCACGGGGAATCAGTTCAATTGACAAACCAAACCCAAACATCACAAGAATGAGCCTTAATCACCAGTCAGCAGTGATGAAGTCCGAAAACCAAGTCAACGGCACTGCCCAGAATGGGGTCACCATACGAAACCACCGTCCAGGTGACATGGGCTTCATCACCTACCGTCATGGAGCAATCTACGCCAACGAGTTCGATTACGGGTCATCTTTCGAGGCCTTGGTCGGCAGAATCACGTCCGAGTTCATCACAACTTTCGACCCTACAGCAGAGCGTTGCTGGATTGCGGAAAGGGATGGCCAGTTCCTGGGCTGCATCATTCTGATGAAAGATCGCGACACGCCGGGTCGAGCGAAGTTGAGATGCTTTCTCGTCGAGAAGAGCGCTCGAGGTCTAGGTCTTGGAACGCAATTGATGAAGCTCTGCATAGACTTTGCGAGAGAGGTCGGGTATGAGCGGGTGGGGTTGAGGACGGACAGCAACATGGTGGGAGCAAGGAGGATGTATGCCAAGACGGGCTTCAAGATACTGGGAACAGAGGAGCATCGGACATGGGGGGAGCATATCCAGAGTATCGGAGAGAATTGGGAAATGGAGTTGTAGTAATGGCAGAAATGACATGGGCTGAACCATTGGGTGGGCATTTGAATATTTTGTTCTCAAGAAGAGTCGGCTTTCAACTTTGGAGGTCATTGTTCAAATTCTTTCATTCAATTGGCAACAATGAAGTGCAAGAATGATATCAAATTTACCACATGGACACATGACATGTTTTATGAGGAAATTCGAAATATCTCAGAACATGTAAAAATATCAAAGAAGCCTGCATTCCAGCAGATGGGTACCATCAAGAAACTCTTAGAGGCAGAAAGGCACCAAAATAGAATAAAGCCATCTTCTTATAGCCCGAGGTTTGATTCATTGCTTCCCGCATTGTTTAAAAGATCTGGTCATGTCTTGGAAAAGGCTGTTTACTTTGGCTGAGATCCTGGGGCCTGAAGGCTGAAGCTGCTTGAACCCATGACGTCATCGAATAAAGGTCTGAGTGATGCTTTTCTGAAGTGTCCTTGACCTTCGCTTAACTGTCAGAGATGACGCAATTGTCACTATGGTCACGTTCTTTCCCAGACTTTCACCCAAGTTCCAGGCGGTTGGTCGCCTAAGGCGCCTAAGGATCTCGGTGAACGGTCTGGATCACCAAGTCACGTGTGAGCTGCCTGAGAACAGGCCGTTGCTTCCTCTTTTGCGCTGTTCAAGTGTTAAGCGAGACGCTAGCGTCGTTTGAAGACGGCTTGTTGTTCTTCCTTGTGATTTCCCAAGTTAACCATCTTTTCTCCTCCACACCACCTCAGATCAAAACTTCACCCCAACAACGACCCTTCACCTGAACCAAATCCGCCAAAGAACTGTCTCAGATCAACGACAAGCATCCGTCTGATTTCTTTCTACCACATAAGTCACCACGCGCGCCTTCTCAACTGATCTCTCGTTAATCAGGCGAGATGGCGCTCCGAACCAAATCATTTGTTTCCCTCCCTACCTCCTTCCTCCTCCTTGCTGCCATAACCCTCTTCAACCTCCCTTTCGCTCTGTCAGCAGGGCTTCAACTTTGGGATGCTTCTCCACGCGCCGCCTTTGTCGCTCTTGTCTCAGAGAACCAACTTGAGCAGATGGTCGCCTCTGTTGGACAACTAGAGCACCGTTTCAACAGCAAGTACCGCTACGACTGGGTCTTTTTCAGCCACGAGGAGCTCAGCGAGAAGTTCAAAGAGGCCACATCCAACGCGACCGGCGGCACTGTCACCTACAATGTCATCCCCAAGCAGCACTGGTCCATCCCTGCCTGGGTCGACTCTGGTCGCTTCGAAGCTGGCTTGGCGCACGCTTAGGCAGTGGGCGCCAATAAAG